CTAGATCAGCACTTGTTCAAACGACAACAAAATAAAACTGAAAGGTCTTTTTAAAGAAATATAATAAAAATAAATCAAATTCGTAAACTAAACTCAAGTTCAGCGTCGGCGAGATTAAACCAAATTTCCAACTTAGACGAGTAACAGAATTAAAGATGTCAAATTGAAAATTAAACATTAATCGGGTAAAAGCAGTTTCAGCAATAAAATAAAAAGTGGTTGGAAAGTTTGCGCTAACCAGGAGCAGAGAAAGCGCGTTACAAAGCATGCGCTCGGTAGAGTAGTTGAAGTTTCTTACTTGTAATAGTCTTCTCTACATAGTATGGCTCCATCCTTGGTGAAGCAAGTAACCTCGTTGTCGAGCCGCAAACTGCACTCGCTGCATTTCAGGCATTCAGCGTGCCATTCTCTATCGACGGCCATCAGATAGAAACGGTCTACGATTCTCGTGCCACAACCTGCACAGAAAGAGCCTTTCTCGTCCAGGGTGACTTGGTCTACCGTTGGCATGGTCTAAGAGTGGAATAACAACGAGATGTTTAGAAGATAGGAAAAAATGACTGATTTTCATAACGCCATGATATATAAGTGTAACCATTTGAAAGGAGTTATGTAAGGCTAACTTAAATTTAAGTGCCGAATTTATCCAAACTTGTAGTAAATCTGATAAAATCGCAAAGGAAGGTTAGTATAAGTGACGTATGAATCAAGCAAATTGAACGATTGGTGCGTCGCTGTCGGGGATCCCGACTTTGGAGTAATTTCACATTCGATTTCAAAAGAATGTACGAAATTGTTAGAAAGCGATTTATAGTTACGTTCTCGTACGGGCTTGTGCGAACTCTCTTGGACTCTTTTGTTGACTTGAGACCTTCGGGAACTGATATCAAACCTGGTTCACACTGCTAGAAGAGTTTGTTTCCATTCAATAAGGCAACTGGACTGTCCAGAAAAAACCTTTTCATAGTGCCACTTAAGCCGGAGCTTCTCGCCCGCTACACGCTTGCTTACAGTTGCTGACAATATCTGCAAGCGCTTGTAATATATTTACGCTAACGTTGTGATCATAGCGAGAAGTCGCCCCTTAAAAAGGGATGAAAAACCATTATTGAACATTCACGATGTCCTGTATTGTACTGAATTAACAAGTATTAGCATACTTTGTGCTAATTTCACATACAACGGTAACACAAATACAAACACAGTGCACCACAACCAGCCAGATTAATTCAGTATCATCCCTGAACTGTACACTTGAGATGGATAGAACCAGCAACAGCTTCTCGATTGCAGCTCTACTACAAACTTCTTTTGCACGAAACTGCTCAGCAGCCGGCGTCTCAAGGTTTTCCGAGTTAAAAAGCGCTCATGAACAATGCATGAAACCAAACGAGGTCTTTCTTTTCGCTTCCTGGGCGGTTCTGTAATTTTCCACTTACATACACCACATAATCTTCAACAATAACTACATTATGAAGTTTGAATACTTAAATGTCCAAATAGATTTTGAACATAACTGTTATCAGAAAATAAGGAAAAATTCAGTCGTCTTTGATGTGGAAGACTTCAGGATTAGGCAAGTTCTATCTGGATACCTACTAACTCACGTACCAGCGAGCAGATCTGTGGTACAATTCGTGCTGACAGCGAGTCGCACAATTTGGATATAAACTACACCTTGAATTGATGTCCGGCGCTTTAATAGGCTTGCAATTCGCAGGTCAGGATGCTTATAAATAAATCCGTTTCTCTCTGCCACACACTGGGAAAACACTCTGTTGCGTGTTTTAGCATGAAGAGAAAAAATCCTTAGCTAATACTACAACGCTCACTACAGCGTTCACCAGAGTGAAGACAACTTCGTTCCATACGCAGCAATGCGGAGGCCGTTTTCACAGTTTTACAGCCAATCAGGTTTCGTCGCTTGGTCGTGATTGACGTTTGTGAATAAACACTATAGACTGGGTTCCGCATTTAATACATCATTGTTACCTATATTTCCGTTTTCCACTTGTGTTTACTTTTAATAATTCTGATAAAATTTTGAGTGTAGAAAATGTATGCCTTGCAGGCGTGAAGCACTTGTCAGGAAAGACCCGTCAATGAAATCTCACTCTCTTTCGCTCGCTTTCAGCACTCAATATAAACGGTATTAATTGTGCGCAGAATATTTGACGATGTTTCCTTAACTCCACAATTACAAAAGACCGTAAAGGACCTTTTGATACTATGCTAACAGCCTTGAAAGGCAAAACAATGGGTCTTAAAAGGACAAAGTAATATAAAGGAAATTTGACATGTGTAAAATCGAGCCAAACTGTTTACCTTTTGAAATAATTGACAAGTTTTTGAAATCGATTAGTTTTCACCTGTTACTTAATTCGTGTGCCAAAGAACAGTATTTAGTGATCAAAAAAAGCTTTTCAAGATTCCAAAGAGATTTCTGAAACTCTTCAACAAAGAAAATCAAATGCGCATAATTCGCAGTTCATGAATCGATAATGTAAAGACTGCTTTAATTTCGAGCGCTTTCGCTTTAGGACTCCAAACTAACTTGTGCTATTAAATAAACCAGAACTAAATTTTTGTACTCGTTACAAATAAAATACGAAAGTTTCAAACGAAATTGCGCACAGCCAGCCTCGGTTGGTAATTTAGTTAATTCTTTTAGAATTGTAGCAAATTATGTAAGTATTTCGTAACCACCTACGGGCCTTTAACTATCACAGCAAGATACAGCTAGCAAACTGATAAAATATGAGCTGACAAGGCTATTGACAGCACACGACGCTGAAAAATGTAAGACTTGAATGAAAAAAGAAAACATAATCTATTTCAACTTATTGCCTTGTCAAAGGGGGGTTTTCTGGTCATAAAAACATTCGAAATTTAACTCGGAGTACATAAAATAATAAAATTAACAACGGCAAATGTTTGACGCTTTTTCCCTTTTCTCTTTCTCTCTTTTTTTTAATTTTTGCCAAAGAATATATCGCTCGTACCAAGGGAAGATAAGATAACTGGATTTGAAAACAAGTTGAGCTGTTAAATCGAATAAGTGTTCACTTCTCTGATCTTAAAGCGAATGGTTGGTCAGATAAAATTCTCGATTAGGGGGCACCGAATGCTTAGAAAATATATAACATTATGTTGTTAGATGTGATCTAGGAGAAACCTTTTATATTATCATAAACTCAGTTGTACATTGACAGAGAAGTAACCGATTTACTGTTAACTGAAGAAGAAACGAAAAAAAGTAATTATCCGAACGGCCGCCTGTCGGCAAAATACCATGCAGTATTATACACACGATTAAACAGCATTTAACAAAAACAGATATAAAATTTCCGCTAATTTATCATAACTAAAGTACATTTCTTCCTACAGTAATCTTTTCAAATGTTCAGACTTCCTTCTGGTTGGCATTACTTTAGTTATTGAGCAAACGAATCAACGACGGAGCCTTACATTAAAAACCCGGGAAAAAATATTAAAAAAGGAAAAATAAATTATTCGTTAAACATTCTTTCTAAAAGCCAGCACTACTAATAGATAAGGAAAAGGAAAATAAAATTTGGTTTCAAATTATCGAATCTCAAAACATAAAGCTCTGGTCGTAATTAAGTAGTTAGAATATCAGTGTTTAAGTTCTACGCTAAATTACTCCGGCCAAACATTGCTGACTAGGACAACATTTATCCTTTCGCTCTAACATTACTGTTTTCTAAATGAAATCCGACGAAATGAAGTTGGATTGAGTCAGTTTCGTTGCAACTTTCACATCAATTCAAATCTACAATACTGAGGTCTGGGAATGTCATTACACAACAAGCAAAGCGTGGTATCTCGAATTTGTGAATAACGATACTTTGTTGAAACTCGGGCGCGCGTATCTGCATGGCCAGCCGGCGTTCGCGGGCGTCGAAATAACAGAATGTTCACTCTTTGGCGTAGGTAAGTCGTAAACTTTCGTTGATTAACACATTGGTTGGAGTAGCTCCGGATGATCATAAAGAAAGCCAAAAAAAATTTTGATCTTTGGATTAAAACGGATTGATCTTGGAAACAGAAAGTTGCCGGCGTATACGCTGCAAAGGGTATGATTGAAATGAGACGACCATTAGGGGAGAAATAGTTCAAAGTGAAATGTTGCCTTCGCAGCGCGCCACGAAGCTTCAAACCGAGCTCTTCATCAGCGTCACTGTCAGCAAGAGCTAAACATTTTGGCAACAAATAAAATTCGCAAAGGCGATGGAAACCATTAGAAGTTCAAATCACATCACATCACTCTTTACCTGAAACTGATCTCGAAACATGTGCACTGGGTGAAAAGCGACTTCGCTTCCAAGTGGCTCTACTGAATTGATCAGGAATGTTGAACGAGTAGGTTTGCTCGTTGCGGTGAATGCCTGCCCGCACCGCACTAGCTAAATATCTCGCGGGGGTTGCAGCTGTGTATTTTTATGGACGGAACCCCTCCTGAAACGGATCCTTTATTTAAATATTGCATAGTAATTTCCATATGTTTTAGACTCGGGAACAGGTGAATCGAGGTCCTCTGACACGAATTAGAAGCTCTCTACTCCGTCATTTCGCCTTAAAGCGCCCCGAAATCCGCAGAATAGCGGCCCGTTTCCGACTTCTCTTGAAAGTAAATTGCATTTAAATGGGGAAATTGTTCTTCGAGTTACAGGAGTACTTGACTCGCGCTCCGGAACAAAATACAGTCGCACGTGTCTGTCAAACAAGTGTCAGTTTTGTTTCCGTTCGAAAGATCTGTCCCCATTCAAATTCAAATCGAGAAACAATGGTTTTTGTGCGTTTGTTGAGAGAGAATAGGGCCCCCTCTTAGAAGTTTAAGGTCTCTTAAACGGGGTATTGTGATGAAGAGCCAGGCGCAACACAACAAAATCTCCTACTAAAGAGGAAAATTAAAAGGACTCGATTGAGTGCGGTTGTATGAAACAAAGATGCCTGAAGTTTACTTCTCTTGATCAATACGATTTAAAACCCTTCCTTCATACATTTTGTTTGAATAATTTTGTGTGTGAGATAGAAAGCAATACTGTAAAAAAAAAAAAAAAACACTTCACAAAACTAAGAGCGATGCGAAAATGTACGCGCATGCGTTTATCGAAATTAAAAAGTGTACCTTGAAGGAAAACCTTTTAAGTTGATCGACTCAAAAGCAAACATCTCAACCGCAATATCACTATGATTTATTTCTGTCAAAATTTCAAACATATCACACCGTCTGAAGGCGTCTTGGGCCGATTAGCAGCGTCAACACGCTGCCCTACATATGTTCATGATGGCGGTTTCGATGATTGGAAAGGTAACAACAGAGTGTAAGCTGTACACAAGGCGCTTTGTTGCCAACTATATTGACAGAATGTATTGTCTGAGAGAGATTTTTAATTTCGCTTTAGTTTGACGCACCCAAGTTCTGTGGTACTCTTGATCTTTAATCATTCGGCACTGCGGGTATAATTAACAAGATTAATACAGTCGTTCTAGTGGGCTGGTTACTCGCCTAAACTCTAAAAAACTATGCGACGTAAGTATTTCTTCGTTGCGATTTGCAAGGTGTTTAAACAAAAGCTTAAACCTTTTGTTGGGTTCTTTGCTAATCTCGGAGGCGTCGCGTGGCGGCACGTGCCAATTGCGGACGAAAACAACACTGAAATGGGTTCCCTGGCGGGAATAAAAAAACGACAAGGGCATTGAAAGGGTTTACCGCAATTTACTCAGTGTGACAATATTTCGCTGAAATCGTGCGAGAATTTTTGGTTTTCGGTTACTTTTGTCTTTTGTAATGAAAAGTAAACACAATTCCGGAAAGCTGATAAAAACAATCAAGATTCGTTACACTCGAGGAGGAAACTATCATTTTTTTTTTTAAAGAAAAGAGTATCTGAATTTTTTTTAACCTTCAAAAAAGCAAGAATGCTATTGTGCCTTGGGTCCACCTAGCAACAAAATCCACCTACTAAAGATCTACGACTGAGACGGCAAGGCGGCTACGTGCTGAAAAAAATTCACCCCAAAAAATTTTAGCTTTTCCGTTAATTAATAAATTATATAGTCTTAATTAGCTTCTCCCGATGTGTCATGTTGGGACTAAATTCAGCTGTGGAAATTGAAAACATCGTTTTCCACCTGCGCTCGCCTCATAAACAAATATAATCTAATTACACGAGGGATACATTACCGCATATTGAAAGTGGACAAAAACGAACCTAGAGATACAGTTTGTATTATGCGGTACGCGATCAGCGATACATTTCGGTGTAGCTTAAATTACAGTTCGATTTGTTCCCCAGAGGAAAATAAATAACATAAATGAAATTTCCATTCGGGCTGGTTTTTCGGGCTTGATAAAAATTTAATGGTCAAGTCAGCGCTGAAAGAAAAAACATCTTGTTTTATTTCGGATGTTGCAAAGTCTTCTAGACTACGAGCGACATTTCTCAAGAAGACAGGAAAAAGTCGACAATAAAAATTGATAAAATTATTTTCCTTAGATGAGCGAAAGTTAGTGCATTTTTGTCGAATGAACGTTTTAGATCGAGTGGTTATTGAAAATTCACGTTGTTTAAAGTAAACGTTAAAGAAATTGCTTCCTTGATCAAAGAAGCACGCAGCGTCCAAGAACGTTCCATATTTAATAATTGATATTTCTCAGTTTTTTTTACCAAGTTTCATATTTTGCTGAACTGTGAATTGAATTGGTTGAAAGTTGCAACATATCGCTAGTTTAAATCGAAACAAAAAATGATTCACTGCAGACAAAACTAACCTGAAATAATTCAATGACCAGACGACACGATTTTTTTTCGCTATCAATCAACGAGGATATTCGTCATTTGATTTGCTTAATACAAATCATTTTTTTTTTAACGCGAAGGAAAATCGAAATTTAGACATTTCGAACTGGTTTACCAGTAAAGTTAAGTTGCTTCGGTAGCCACGAATGTCCAAACTGAAACTGTCTATCAATTATCTTTGTGTTTTATCTCTACAAACAACACACTTAAGAGCTCGTACTTTTTAAGAAAGACTTAACGAGGTTTTAACACGTTATTAAGCATATCAGCGCTGCTCTAATATCTTCCAAGAGAGACGACAAAACTTTAATTGTAACTGTGTTGTCCACGTTCTACGTTTAACACGTTGAAACAATTTTTTTTTTAACAACACCAATTTACGCTACGTGAATCGCATTCGAAATTTATTGCGGTGAGAAAAAAAATAGCTTTCGATTGGGACTGACGGAGCAATTACTCATATTTACCGCATTATGTTTTGCATATTTGCCAAACGAGACAATTTCCATTCATGTTCTTAGACAAAAGCATCTGTACACTCAAAGTAACTGATAAGAGCAAGAAAGAAATAAACAAAGTGAAATCTGAATTAAGGAAAGAACGCTTTTTTATGAAGAGGGACTTGGAAATTCGCTTCACAACTGCCAACACGTTTTCGCAATGTTTTAGTCAACCCAAGGTTCATACTTTTGCAAATTAATTTGCGACGGTCTGGCGACGTATTGGCAAATCATCTGAAAATCCGACGAAATCTGCAGCTGTCCGGTACAACGAAAGCTATGCCTTGGGGGCGTCAAATTTGTACTCAGTGCAAGCCACATCTGCGTCGGTTTGTGATCAAGGTTTTATTGACTAATGTGAGGTCAAAGAAAACCTCTAGTTACTATGGAGAGTTTCAGTTGCCATCCACCAGGCTACATTTAGATTTCAACCAGAAATCAAGCAATAACTCCAGCTGTATAACAATGTTATACAGTCGAACCTCCAATAACAGCCACCTCTCCACAACGGTAAAGGCCACTAAAACTCATCCCAACTACCAAAATAACCATAACCAAAGTGTCATATTACACCTCTACCTCCCCATAACGGTCATCTCTCCACGGCCACTTTCCTCTGTCCTCAGTGTGGCCGTTGTGAAGAGGTTCGACGGTATACCGTTAACATGATATGTATTTTTTGATACTTAGTATCTTTTGCTTCTAGATTACTATTTATTTATTTTTAAACCTTAGCTGTTCTTGGAAAAGCTAGAACTGCAAAAAGTCCATACCTCCGTGTTTCAATAAAGTTGTGTTGTGGTGTTATGTTATGTTATATTGTGTTATGTTAATATAGGTTCATTAACGGTTTCGAGTTCAATTTGGAATTAATTTGCACAAGTTAGTTTTTCAAAAAGCTGAAATTGCACGAGCTGCTTCGGCGAGTGTCATTTCAGCTTTTTGAAAAACTCACCAATGCAAATTAATTCCAAATTGAACGAGAAAAGCTGTATGATTACTTATTAATAATATATACATGAAAAAGTTTGCGTGGAGGAAGTGCCGGAAGACCTTTCTTGAAGTCATTTTTTCTCATTTGTTTTTGCACAAAATTTTCCTCATCATTTTACGTAATATCATTGGCTTTGAAAATTTCCTATTGTCTTTCAGCCAATCATAATCCAGAATTATGATGTGCAATT